TACATACATACATACATACATACATACATACATACATACATACATACCTTTGTTATGTTTTACTTTCAAGGGTGTCTTTTCAACTGTTTTTCCTGTATGTAAAAGAAAAAGAGAGAAAAATCAAATACAATATTTAAACTGAAGCTCATAAAATCCGCTTTGTTAATATTAAGGTAAGTGAGGAAGGAAAGATATTAGCAAATTCAGAGAACATATAGTTTTTTAGAAAGAAAAAACCCCCAGTCTTACCATGTTTTTCCTTCTTTTCTCTCAAATATTTTTCTGCTTTTTTTTCATCTGCAAAGAATGTCCAAATCATAGGAGTTAAACTTTAGGGGACTTGGATATTTGCATGTTGTTTCACAAACCCTTGGAGAAAACAAGCTTGTGATTTCTGTCTGTCAGCAGCAGGGAAGTTAAATGTGGTTGGAAACAGAACAGATCTTACATTTGCACATTTACACGCTCTTCTATGGAGTTGGATTGAATCATATCTCAAGTGATTTGATATATGCACAGATGTCTTTCTTCAGCATTCATTTTTTTTTCAGGCATCCTTGAATACAGTCAATCAACTGTGACTTCATACAAGGAGACAGACTGAAATTAACTAAGGTGCAGAGCTAGAGCATGGCCGCCACTCTGATACTTCCTGCTGAGAACAACAGCAGGTAGTTCGCAGTTTGCCATAAAACTGTTCATTCTATCTACCGCCCCCTCCCCTTCCCAGATCCAGCTCACTTTAATGCAACTTCAGTCTCTATTTGCTCAACTGTGAGCATCCTGGCATAATCTCTCCACATGCTACATTACCCTCCCAGACACTAACAGCAAGTAAGTAATTAAAGTTTGTGGCTACCTTGAAGAGTGATAAAAATAGAATATCTGACACTTTGTGGCAGATCTTTTAATGGGACAAATTTAATTAGTTTTTTATGGTGCTCAATAAATATATCAGGTGAGGTTCTGGGGACGTTAAGCTCCATCAGGTACAATTCTTGTGGCTTGTTATTACATATACCATATGTATATGTACTATATGCTATGTACACCTACTACATGTTTACCTGCAACTTTGAGTTCAGCTGTTGCTTTTCCTGGTCTTTCTATTGGGTGGCACAGACATAGAAAGAGAAAGAAAAAAAATAAGTACATCTATATAAATCTTCATACTTTGAGAGTTTGGGGCTGTTTTCAATGCAGATAATCATTTACATATGACTGTAATAGAATCTGCCCATTACGGTCGTACATTGAAAAGTTTGTAAAAGATGTTCAACCTGATATTACCCATGGTTCTCGATCATGGATACAGGATGTTGCAAAATGCTTCAAATGGCTATCAATGTGGCTGTATTGCCAAGCAATCACATGACCTTGGAGGGGACCTGCCATTGGAACTTTGAATCTGGGCTATAAATACTCCAAAAGTAGGCCTGTTGTAACTTTGAATGGGCACTAAGTGACCAGTTGTAAATCAAAGACTACCTGTGTAGTGTATGTTGCATACACTGTGATACAGCAACACTTTTGTTAAGTTAATGTAGAAATATTTCACTTGTAAATACAAACTGTACATGTTGTCCCCAAAGGTACTTTTTCCAAAGGCAACTGGACTTTGGTTTTCTTTGAAGATGTTTCACAAGAAACTTCTTAAGTTTTGGCCAGAGAAATTTCTTGGATGAGAAGCAAAACATCTTCAAGGAAAACCAAAGTCCAGGTGCCATTGGAAAAAGCACCTTTGTATAAACCATGACCTGAATGACTGAGAATCTCTACAGATCTCAACCTGTACACGTTGAATTCCCCTAATCAAGCCCACAATATATCTGAGAAAATATAACTGCAGTGTCTCAAATGTGCTTTTTCAGGAGGCAACTGGACTTTCTTGTTTTTTTCCTTTTGAAAATGTTTTGCTTCTCATCCAAGAAGCTTCTTCAGTTCTGACAGGTTAGTGGGGAATGGAAGGATTTATATTCCTTGCAGACAGTTGGTAATTTGGGACAATCATGATCTGGATTGCTGGGAATTTCTACAGAATATAAGTGCAGTGAAAATAGAAACTTTTAAGATATAAAGAAGTTGACAGGAATTTTTGGCAGATTATAACTATTATGAATTAGATTTTTGCCATTTTATTTTCTTGCAAGACTTATTATTCCAGATATAGACTAGTATTCTTGAATAAATGTCTTTCAGATATATTGGATTGTGTTTCTGACAATCCATCAGCCAGAAGATCAATGGACACAGTTTCAGGATAAAAGTGATAGCTGGAGGGTGCCCATTAGGAAAGTGTGATCTGTTTTAATGCCAAAACTGAATATATTGGATTTTGCCTTGGGACTTGATATTATTGTTCTAACGTGATCTGTTCTGCAGATTATCTCCAGTTCGTATCCATTTTATATCCTTGCAACATGGCAGACATCTAAAATCATTTGAAATATTGATTATAGCTGCAAATAAGAGGCACATCAAATAGTTTAACATTTATTGAGTAGAAATATAAAACATAAATAAAAAAGTAAATATAAATGTAGAAGATAAAGTCTTTCATGCAGCTATGTTACCTGAATTTTTTTTAGATTTAAATAATTAAAAAATAGAATGTACCAATAGTCTTTTTAATGCAAATAAAGTTCCTGATGTTCCAAAATACTACACATCTGCCACAAACAATTAATTAGAGATCTAGCAAAATAGATAAGTAGTGAAAGATAGAAATAGATAATGACTTTTAAAATATAATTCCAATTACTTCTGTTCATTCCTATTATGATTGATGGATATAGAAATAGATAATTTAGGGTTTCCTTCATGTTACTATCTTTACCTTCCTCATTTAAAAATAATGCAAAGATCGAATTTAGCTAAGTTGATACATTGGGATTCATAGATGTTCTTCAGTTACCCATCAAATAGGAGACAACTGATAACACAACACAATAATCAGTGTAGTAAGATATTCTCTCAAGAGCAGCAATCTACATACTTGTGTAGCTGTTCTCTGTACTTGAAGTAGGGGCACAAATATTTAAAGAGAGCTATTTGCAGCATAATATTACATTAATTATATATTGATTATCAGAGCAATGTAAAAGCTTACAATCTTTTGACAAAATGAATAAGAATAAAGTATGAAATTCGGTGCAAAATCTTTCTTGGCACCAAGAATAAATTTGACTAGAAGAAAGCCGTGTTATCATAATGTGTTGCTAAATTTGTATTCAAGTTCAGAGATAACATGATCAAATATGATCAGAGAGAGTTCATTTTGTAGCCAGGGAAGACCTGAAGTAGAGAAATGGAGGGATTGTGAGATTTAAAGAATGCTATGCAACTATTAATGCCTCTAAAGAGCGGTTCCCAAACTCTTTAGCTCATTAACCCTTCATAAAGTTTCAGATTGTTCATCAGCCCCCAAATATTTAACATATAAAATAATTTAATAAATACTTATTTAACTAGTAGTACTATAAATAATAACAATAATGGATAGTCCCATTGAACCTCAGGGGTTGATTGTGACCACGCTGGAGAAACCTACTCTAAAAAATATGTAGAAGATCTGCTATCTTCTACTGCCTATATTGTAATGGCACAGAAATACTAGCAAGCATATGAGAGTCACAGTAATTTTTACCAATTATTCTCTATATTTAAACATTTATTTTGTAGCAAACTGCATCTTGTAATTGGGAACACACTGCTTCTTTGCACATGGATAGTTTGCATAAATCATAAAAAGAGATGCCTCCTAAGACTAGTTACAGCTTATATTATCTGACATCATCTATCCAAAGCCTCTTTTACTTATGTTTACTTTGCAATATAACTAATTCTTACTATATTATTTAATATTATGCTCTCTGTGGCAATAAAACATGATATGTAGCACAAAGTTGTTCATTATTGGTGCTGAAGGAAAGAGTTCCAAATGTGTCAATCTGCTATAGACTGAGTTATTGCATTTAAACTTTTCTTATATCAAGGAAATTCACATTGGGCTCGTTCATGGGGCAGCCCTGAAAGTTGTTAATAGAAACAGGGGTGTCCTGCAGGGAAGGGGATCAAAAAAACATGCAATCAAAACTCCACCAGTGGTGGCAGACTTCCGGTTTGAGTCCCCTCGCTGACAGACCGAAACCGCGATCGTGCACGGTTTCGATCCGTGCTTGCCGCCGGAGCACCCCGAGCCAGCTGGTTTCGGGGCTAAGCCACCCCGTAGAGGTGGTGAAGAGAGGGGAGACTGCCAGCAGGGTTGAGAAGAGCTGCATCTCTCCTCCTCAGCTGGCCATTACTCCCTTTCCCGAAGGCGGTTGCAGCGGTGGTCAGAAATGGCCACCTCAAAGAAGAACTCGACTGGAAAAGAATGTGCAGGAGGAAGATAAAAAGAGAAAGTTTTGGTTGACCAGGTTAAACTGCAAAAGCAGCAACATAAGGTACCCTGGAATTTAAACTATAAAAAAAATAACTGTTCCCAAAGAAGATTTTGAAGCAGCGAAGGAGAGAGGAAAGGGAAAGGATTTGGTTTGTTTTTCTTCCCTTCCCTATACTGACAGTGAAGAGACTTAAGCAAGAAATTGAAAAAAAAAATCCACTTTGACATCAATAGGCATTTAAGCTGAAAATAAAATGTCAAAGGGATAATAAAGATTTCTGGGTACTTAAAAGCTTTTAAAAGCAGGAAAGGAGAGAAAAAGAATAAAAGGGCAGGATCTGGAAAAATGGAGGAGACTGCCTGGAACTAAAAGGAATTTACAGTGAAACCTCAACAAGATTCCTAAAAGATACATTTTAACTGAAACTTGGCAACAAAATAATAGAACCCCAGGAAGAGAAAGTGGAAAAAGAAGCAAGAAGAAATAGCTTTGGATTATTTGGATCATTGGGTGATCTTTGGATTTTTGGTTATTGCATTTAAATGACTAAAATCAATTGGGTGGTTGTTTAAAAGTGTCTAAAATAGCACACTTTTAGAAGAACTGAAAATAAAACTTAAAAAGTATAAAGAAGATGCACAAGAAGGGAGAGGTTCTTTTGGCTTCGTATTTCAACTCTTAGAAATTGAGATCTGGAACTATGAGAAACAACAAGTAACGCTTGCAGACCAAGAAGACTGGGACAAGGAAGGAGCCATCTTTAATGATCAAGTAATTTTATGTGGGGGAAAAAAGGAAAGGGGGGAAAGAGAAAGAAAAGTTTAAGATTTGAAAAAACAACCAAAAAAAAGAAAAAGAATAGTTTGAAAAATAAGTATAATATTAGAAAGCAACAGAAGAGGAGATTACAGAAGAGAGAATTAGAAGTAGAGAGACAAGGGGGTAAAAAGGGGAGGGAGAAGAAGAAGGGGAAGAAGGAAAGGAAAAGAAGTTATAAAGGACAGAAACAAGATATAGAGAAACAGAGAAAAGATATAAGAATTGAAAGTATAAGCCTGTTTAGAGATAATGGATGAAAACTTAATTGTAAAAGGGATTCTGCAAAGGTACATAAGATAGTATTGTTATATTACAAATAGAAATAATTTTGGAAAATATGATTAAAATGACGGATAAAATATTTATTGTAATCTAGTGGAATGTTTGTTAATAAATAAATGAAATAAAGTGAATGAGAGAATTAAATTAGGAAAGGATGGGAACATTTTAATTATTAATGATTTATAAAATATAAGTGAAGAGAAATATGGGGGGGGGGAGAATTAATTATGGAAAGTTTATAAGTGTTCCCAATGAAGTATTATATTTAATTGAAAAGAAAAGTTAAAGATGTTAAGATTTTAATGAATATTAATGATAGAATTGAATTGGAATGGAATAAGTGCTTTATTTACATATATATATAATTTTTTTTAAAGAATATATTGTGTATTTTAAGAATGTACCAAGCAGAATTCAATTGGAAGTTATGTATTATATTGAATGTTATAATCTTAAAGGTATACATTGAAGCTTAAATAAGAGTTGAATGGATAAAATTAAAAGATATAAAGGTGTCATACTCCAATTAGTAACTACAGGGGAAAATTTGTTTAATGAGAAAAGATAATATGAAATTGAAACAGGACAGACAAAAGTATAAATATAATGATTTGAATTGAGATGAGATGATCAAAATAAAGTTGAGAAAATTAAAAGAGGGGAAAACTATGTAGAAAATGTAAAACAGTAATAAGATATGGAATGTGTGTGAAGAAGTGATAACCCGGGACCATGCTGTTTTCAAAAAAAGATGTTTTATTTGTATTATGTTCTTTTTTGTGAAAACCCAAATAAATTAAAAACAAAAAACAAAACCCTCCACCAGTGGTGGAATTCAATTTTTTTTACTACCAGTTCTGTGGGAGTGGCTTATTTGGTGGGCGTGACTTGGGGTCACATAACTGGGTGGGTGTGGCTTGGTGGCCATGTGACTAGGATGGTCATGTGACTGGGTGGGTGTGGCCAACTCAATGTCACTCACATCAAGGGGTGCCTCACCTGGCCCTCCCCTCCCAGCCATTCCTTGTCACCCAGCCTCAACTTATCTATAGTTCTGTAAAAATGTTGTTCACCTTTTTTGACTTTATTATCTGCATACTATAGATGTACTTTCATGGACCACTGAAAGGAGAAAATGGCTCACATGCTTTACTCAAAAGTGTGATAGGCAACAGGCTTTTAGGGGGCTGCCAGAAAGAAAGGGGGACAATGTATTTTCCAAAGCACCAGAGGATGGAAACTGAACACAGAGAGAAGCAACGTAAAAATAAGGAGAAACTTCCTGACAGTGAGAACAATTAACCAGTGGAATTGCTTGCCACCAGAAGTTCTGGGTGCTCCAACACTAGAAGTTTTTAACAAAAGACTGGACAGCCATTTCTCTGAAATGTTACAGAGTTCCCCCCAAGGTCCCTTTCTAAGTGTTATTATGTTATTCTGACACCTTTCCCAGGACCTCTATTCAGATTTTGGATTCCTCAGAGTTTTCCTGCCTGAGCAGGGGGTTGGATTAGAAGACCTCCATAGGCCCTTTCAACTCTGTTAAATGCACCTGTATTTATGCTCTGACATGTAAACCCTGAAAAATATCTGGGCAAAAGAAAGGAAGTAAAATCACTTTAGGTGTAGGGACAGTGCAAAATATTAATATATGATAAATAATGGAACAATTAAAAATAATACCACAGAGTATCCTCTCTCCCCCCCTTCCTTCTTTTTTTCTTTCTCTCTCTCTTTCTTTCTCCCCTTTCCTCTTTCTTTCTTCCTCTCTTCCTCTCCCTTCCTCTTTCTTTCTTTCTTTCTTTCTTTCTTTCTTTCTTTCTTTCTTTCTTTCTTTCTTTCTTTCTTTCTTGCTCTTTCCTTCTTGCCCTTCCTCCCTCCCTCCCTCCCTCCCTCCCTTCCTTCCTTCCCTTCCTTGTGTCTATCTGACATACACACCTCTTTTCTGGGAAGAACTTATGAGCAGCGAGCGGGGGGGGGGGCAATGTGAATGTTGATTTGGCATGCTGTGAATTGAGCCAAAATCACCTTACCAAGAGTTAGAACACTCCTGTAGGCTCTGGGTTAATAGATGATGCTATCTCCTTGGAGATGGTCACCTATCAACTGCATGATCATGTTACTGGATGCTTGAGGTGCTTTGCAACAAAAAGTGGAGCTGGTCTTGCTAATTCTTTGTCCCCTGTTCCAAATCCATAAAACCTTTCCCTTTGCTTTTCCTCTGCTTCCCTGCTCTGCTGGGCTGGGAAGGTGGTGGACGCACTCCGAAAAGGAGGCCAGTAACTCCTGGGGCTGCTTCCCATAGCCGCGCTGCTGCCACCACTGTTCCGCCACCCTCTGGACTGGCCTGGCACCCCATCTTGGCCTCCTCCCACCCGGAGAGGTCCCCAGCGGTGGGGGGGAGGCACAGAAAGGCCCTGCTCAGTGGGTCGCAGTGGGCCGAGCACGGCTCGCAGGGTTACCTGTGAGCAGGGCAGGCAGATCAGGGCTGCTCAGTTGGGGGCGGGCGGGTGAGCGGCGTGAGCGAGCATCAGGTGGGTGGGGCAACTGAGCGACCAGCAACGAGAGAACCGGTTCGGGGGCGTGGCCAGCAGAAGTTACTAACGGTTCCACGACCCATGCCCAATCACCACTACAGGTTCTCCAGAACTGGTGAGAACTGGTTGAATACTACCTCTGAACTCCACCCCTTTTTACATGCATCATGGTGCATGTTAAAAAAAGGCAGGCTTTGATCACATGGATATAGACACAATCTTGACTTTTGACCTTCTCCTTGCAGGCATCCCTGAAAGAAACACTGGTATTTCAGTGTTCTATCTCTTTATGTGTGAACTGTTTATATTCTGTACTGTTTTAAAAAATGACATAAATATAAGAAAGTAAAATATTAATCACAGTTTTATTGACAAATGCATTATTTAAGCTATTTGGCTAACAATAGTTAGGAAATTCTATTAATTCAATATGTTAATGTGCATAACGTGCTTTTCAGAAAAAGATAAAATAGCAGCAAAGACATTATTAGCAACCAAGTTAACAAGGCTATTTAAATTGCAGATTTAGAAAAGGCATTCACATGCAAAGCAAGGCAGCAAGTATAAATATAACATGACACATCTTGTAATTTCTTTGGACATGGAGAGAAATTAAGGAACCTTACTTCAATGGAGGAAAAGTAAAAAAGGATAATGTTGGGTTGTAGTTCTTAAGCTTGCTCTTGGCTTAGATCCTACACATATTGCATGTCCCCTCCCCTCCACCAACAAAGAAAAATTCATGCTTACTTATGAATAAGGACAGAATGGTGCATCCCTATTATTTAAGCCAAGAGCAAGCCTAAGAAGTATACATTGTAGAATAGCAATGAATACTTGTTGCTCAAGGCCTTATTGTTCTGCTCAGTTTGTCAATTCCTTCTTCTACTTTGCCAAGTGGTTGTGTGAAGTGTGAATATCAGAATAAATACCTGGTTTTGCTAGATGAGCTCCTTTTTTTTGCCCAAGAACTTCTTGTTCTAAAAAGTGGGAGCAATACAAGATAAATTCAACATTGTTTTGCCGTTGTATAGTCTCTGCTCTTAACTTTTAAATTCTTTTCAGATGGATTTCACACAAAATGAGTCATTCCAGAATTACTGAGAGAAGAGCTACAGTGTTAGCCCTGTCTTCTGATGTTCTCAAACTAGCATACAGTAAGTAATGAATTGATACGTGTGGTCGTGCATGGGCTTTCTCTGAGAAGATACGCCTACACACAATACAGTTCTGGAATGGGTATATTAGCAGTCTGTTGAGAACATGCAAATGGTAACTCTTGGTAACTTCATAATATCTCCTTCATATAAAAGGAATAAAATTCTAGGTAACTAGGACCATGAACCACTGCAGGGAGGAGAAACCTTTTAAGATGGTTAGACCTAGCAGATTTCTCAATGACCTGAAGCACTTCTGTTAGGCACCACTCCATTCTGAGGAGCTCCATGAAATGAAACAAGTGGGGGAAAAAACTGTTAGGTCTCAGTTGAGTCTAGTTTTATTAGAATCCTGGTCAGTGCCCTCTCTATGTGGCTGCTTCTTCAGAAATATCATGATATTTCTAGGTCAGATTTGCAAGAAACAGGATTAATATTGTACTTCATAATAATTAATTCATAGATCATCAAGATAGACCATGCTGGGGGCAAAACCTTTGTCTCTATTGCTCAGTAAAATCATACCATACAATAGAACATTATTATATAGTCTTGGAAATGATGTGACAGTCACATATACATATTACTGGAGTAAAGCTATTATGACTACTCCATACAGCTAAGGTATGATTATAACCATATTTCAATGAGAAAATACAACATCCACCTGCATGTTAATGGAACTCAATTCCACAAGATTCCTTGTGGAATCTCCAGATCTTCTCTGGAGAGTTTCCAAAGCCCACAGGTGGTTTAGATTAGAAGATAGGCAAAGAATAAAAGTTTGTCACTGACAGTAAAAATCCAACTGATCACTGTTCCTGTATTTTTAATAGCTGTAAAGTTTAGAAACTTACTTGGTGGTTTATGTTCTGCCTCCTTGCCTAAAAAGAAAGAAAGAAAAATAATAATAATGAATTTTATTTCCTGTATCCCTCTAATCTTTAGAAAATAAAGATTGCAAAATGAAACATTTTTATGGCTGAAAGTCACAATAATGTAATTTTCTATGCAATGGTTTTCTAGGCAATAAGAGTCAATTTATGGTAATAGTGTCTCAAATTATGCATTTATGTTTATATACCATCAGAGTCATAATAGTGTCAGCACACAGTAGGCATCTTCCATTCTCTCTCTTTTTTAAAAAAAAATAACATTAAAAATTATAAATGAAAAGAATAAAAATCAATACATTGAGTACTGCAAAAAACACAAACAGAAAATATAAGAAAAAGAAAAACCAGGGAGCGTGTAAAAGAAAAAAGAAAAAGAAAGGAGAAAGAGAAAGAAAAATGAAACGATTTTTTCCTTTATCCCAGTGGGTAAAAACAATTTTAGTAGCTTATCCTTGTCTCTAAATAAAACATAATCTCTCTTCTAGCCATAGCTCGCCTTCTTTCAGGCACAAAGAATCAGGACTATTCATAAAGTTGCAGAACAGGAGATTTATTCAAGCCTATACACAAGAATCTCGTCAAAAGTTCAACCGTAAATTGTGCCAGATAAGGGTCAACAGAATTCAAGAGGGATTGGACTTGGAGCACTTGTGGGAACGCAATGACTTTAAACTGATGATGTTCCCCCCTTTCCCCAACTTTGCCTGCTCTTCTCTTTCTTTTTCTTCTTCCAATAATCTAGGCGTTGACACAATTGCCTACCACAATAGCAAGAAAGTTCTAAGAGCTATCAGAAAGACATCTGCAATTTTTTTTTCTTGAAATGGTCTCCTATTTTAGACTCAATCAATCTAAATACCATAAATTAAAATGTAATTAAAGACAATGGAACTGGAGGGAATTCTTCTACAGCTTGGTCACCATCACCTCATTAGACACAGAAAAAGCAATCTCAGATGCCTTGCAGAAGGACTGAGGTGTGATGCTGCTTAAGATAGACCCATAGTTGCTATGAAATCATGACAACATGTTCTGAAATTCACCAGGACAATGATAGCACAGCCACCTTGTCCTTTAGCTCAGAATAGAATAGAATTCTTTATTGGCCAAGTGTGATTAGACACACAAGAAATTTGTCTTTGGTGCGTAAGCTCTCAGTGTACATATAAAAGGTATAAGTGATAAATCATGATAATGGTCAGCATTAATCCATTCCTCATCAGGAAGTGAGGTTCGTAGGCAACAAGGGAAGGAATATACTAGTCAATGTTTATGTTGAGTCATGTCTTTATTTTTAGAGCACACATCCAGTACTGGTAAGGGCAGAATTTGCTACAGTTCTGATCTGTTGCTTGTTTGTGGTAAGCAGATAAGTAAACTTGAAAATACTTTCATTTACAGGTATTCCTCAATTTATGACCATACTTGAGTCTGGAATTAGGATTATAAATCATGCTGGTCATTAAGCAGGTCAGCATGTGACCACACCTAGTTATACAACCTTTTTGTGATGATTGTTAAGAAATGCAATGGTCCTAAAGCAAATATGTTGGTGAATAAGTGATTGCTGCAATCAGAATCCATTGTTTTGCTAGAGACTGGAAGCAAATGCCAGTTTCTGGCGCAAAAAAAAATGTAAATTGTGGCATGTGACTGTGGGATACTGTAAATGGACATAAATGAGGACCGGTTGCTGAGTGCACAAAATGTGATCACCTGACCATGGAGAAGGATTGCCGTCAGAACTTGGAATCCTGATTGTAAATAGCCCTGAAGAGCTCCATTGTAAATCTGAACAATCATTAAATGACCAGTCATATGTCAAAGACTACCTGCGCAACATTCCTTTTCAAAAAAATGAAAATTTTTGGCTGTGGACTGGGACTACTCCAATGGTAAAAGAAGAGATGAATATATAATGTACAAAAGCTAAAATAAGCTAATTAGTGGCATTTGCCTCAAAGGTATTGTTCCATAGGGAGCAAATTAATAGCAGTGGTTCATTGCCATTGTTTGACAGAATACAGAGAGAGTTCAGGAAATTCCTACTTTTGTTGTCTACAATATATACAATATTATTCTGACTACATCAGAGAGACTTGTAAAATTCCTAGGCATATTTTAAAGAAGCATGTGTTCCCATCTCAAAATAATCAGTTATTCTGGGTTCATTAATTTTGGATACTATTTATTTTGGTTCCTCTCTTGGTATCACCTGTCACTATTCTTTATAATCATTT